ATCAAAATACTTGAAAATTTAATACAAAGTTTCTCATAAGTTATTCTTATAGTGATTAAAAAATTATAAGAATACATAGACATAATTTTTTTTTATTAGCATTTGAAGTTCAAATATTGACTTAACTGTAAATTGCAAGTCAATGAGTTTAAAGTTTAAAGTTCTATAAAATATAAATATTATACTATATATAATGGGTATTATACATAGGTACTGTTTGTACGATGACTATTTAGTCCTTTATTAGGTATATAGGTATTTCAATTGGGCAACTTTAAACACTAGGTATATGAAGTTCGTTTTTTTGTTTRCGTCGCTTTTTATAGCCTGTGAGAATTTAAAGAAACAATTGATACTGATAATGTCTATATACCTACGCGTTAAGAAAACATTCGCATTATATGTTACTTTATAATACAATTATTTAACACATGCAATTTTTGTTTATAGCAGTTCCAATTTAGTGTAGTAGCCTTTAATAAAACAGTAATTTGGCCTATTATAACGAACTTAAAGTAAAAACTAAGAATGTCTAAGATATTTTTAAATTTATTGTATATTTTACAAAATAATAGCTAGTGCTTGAAAATTGTATGAATATTGTAAACCATGTGAAAACACATATTCTAACTTTTAAGATTGATCATTAGTAAATTAAATCTATTATAATTTATGATATTGAAGGTTACCACACAAAATTTAAACTGCTGATCACAAATTTGCTACGTCGTATATAGGTACGTTTGAAAGACACGCAGGTGTAGCGTGTTCTTATAATGGTGAAATCATTTTTACACTACATAGACATATCTATTTATTTATATGTATACATAATCCAAATGTAGTAATAATAATGATAATATAAGTATAAATTAGCATTATGAAACTAAAACTAAACAATGTATACATCTATATAACGACTAAAACCTATCTAAGTGTTAAGAAATGTTTTTTATTGGTAGGTACCTGCATAGATTGAATAGCGAAATTTAGGATATACAGGTAGGTTTAAGTATTACAGTTAAAAATTTAGTAATCAATGAATCAACAACTCTTTCTACTAATGAATATAGTTGACAAATTCTCTTCCATTGTCTGAATATAGAAGAACCGGAGCACCAGAAGTTAGAAAAATTTCAAATACATGGCAATTTCTTCTGCACAATTGATCTGCAAGAGACTGAACTGAACAAACTTTGTCAGTTGATCCTGATCGTTAAGTTTAAACTGTGAATTAGGTTGTGATCAAATTCAAATCGATTAGAATTATTCATGTATTCCAATTAAAACTAGTTTTGACTGACTTATTTAAACCTGCGGTTCATTCTAGTTTTAACAAGGTAGTCAAAACCAGGATTGACTAAAAGGGATTTCAGAAACTAGTTTTGATGGATTTCGGGTTTTAATTGTACATTTTGATAAAAAATTGTTGAAAGAAAATTTTACAAGAATAATTTTATTATAACAACTATACATTATAGTAGTGTATACATTCCGGTAGCCAGGCTATAGGTTCATTAGATTTCGAGTGTGTTTTCTTTTTGTTTCTGGAAACTCTTTTACTTTAGATAGTAGAAAAATGTTCTATTCATCATTATATGTTTCTGATTGAAATTGGATCTGCAGGTTGGTACTTTAAGGTGGTCAAAATCGAAAGTTCTCAGTACTTTTTAAAATTAATGGATAACTACTACATTTTGTTAATATAGTGTAAAGTTACAACTAAAATAATTTTTGGGTATAGCCAAGCTAAGTKTATCCAAAAGTTATACGGTTTTTGCTTAAATTGTCATTGATTTATTATTATTTTGTTTTTCTATAATATACAAAATAATTCGTTCGATCTAAAAGCTTAAAAATTCAATACATACGTCTCTCATAAATTAATATCATAACTATTTAAAAACCATATAGATGTAATATAGTCATGATTTTTTTTAAGCAATTTGTTATTTTATTTACAAGTTCAAATTTTGATTAAATTCGTTAAAATCGCGCAAATTATTGTTAAGTATAAAATTTACAAAATGTTCAATTTTTATAGCATTTAGGCTTAAAAATTTATTTCAAGGTATCTTATGATTCATATTGTAACCAAAAAATCACTGATAATTATAGAATTGTTAATAGGTAAGTTTTTAGTATTTACTATTTAACTACCTATTATAACCAAAAAGCAATACTATAAAATATCCTAGGCTGACACACCGATTCCTCTTGGAATCGTTTTTCATAGATATACAATGGTATATAATTTAATCCAAATTTAACACATTTATACACATCTATTACAGTGGCCCATTCCATATCTACCGTACGTCAGAGTGCATGGTATCAGCGCTTGCTAACCTTATTTATTGTTTCGACTATTCCAGAAGTACTTCAAAGTATAAGCTATGTTCACTTTGCTAGTTTGCTATTAACATTTCCCTATAGTAGTTGGTTAAAGGTCGGAGGAATTTTTCTGTTATAAAAAAAATCACACATAATATTATACACCTAACTCGGAATCTAAAAAATTAATGTTATAATATTATATTGAAGCTCGGAATGAGAATAAAATAATCAATCTTTCGAAATTATTTATGCAATAATAACTTATTCGTATGTACCTAGGTAGGTATACATCAAAGTGTATGACATTATATWTTATCCCTTTTCTCCATAARAAAATAAAACAGGAACTTTGTTGAACGCCCTTGAAAATAATTGACCAATGGCAGATTCAACTCTCTCAAACGCACAAATAATATTGAAAAATGTTTGTTGGCATTGCAGTGTAGCGGCCATGCGTCTACATGCAGGTTACCAACAATAATAAATAATAATATAATATAAAGATGCGTATATTTTAATTCTGAAAACTTCCGAGTTCCAACATACACTTGTGCAACATAATAAAATAGTACGATGCCTCGATGAAGTCATGTCAAGCATCAGGACAAAATACTAAAATGTGTCATAATAATAATACACAGATAAAGACATTATATTTAGGCGCAGAATAACAGTTTGAAAAAAGCGGTATTTACTCAATTAATTAATACATATTTTCTATGTCGTAAAATCAATAAAACATATTACTTATAATAAAGTTTGAGACTTAATATGTAATATAAGCTACGACACAATAGGCCTAGTCGGAATGTATATAAAAATTTACTATGAAATGAATGTCATAGAGTACCTATATTAAATTATATTTATATAAAAATGATCGAGTTATTAATAATAAATAAAAATATTCAATATTAAGGGTGAAACAATTATCATTACAGTGATTTGATTTATTTGGGATAGGATGACCATCCAAAAAATGAGTGTCTAATGATATTATTATATGTTTAGGTTACGATTAAAAGCAGATTATGTAGTTATTAAAATGTTGTTCGTTGAAATGGAGAAGGACTAGATTTAATGCTTTCCTCCTCGTCATCATTGCTAGAATCGTCAGAACTTTCTTCTGACCCGTAGATGTCGTCGGATTCGTTGAGCTCGAATGTTTCGTCTTTCGAGACATCTTCCTCGTTTAATTCTTGAGAGTCCAACAGGTCGGATTGTARAGATGAGTCCTGGACCTCGTCGGATTGTTGAGAGTCCTGGACCTCGTCAGATTGCTGAGAGTCCTGGACCTCGTCGGATTGTTGAGAACTCTGGACCTCGTTGGATTGTTGAAAGCTCTGGTCCTCATTGGATTGTTGTGACTGTTGAACATCATTGGACTGTTGAGAGTTCTGGACCTCATTGGACTCTGGATAGTCACTGACCTCGTTTGATAGATCCGGGAATACACGGACACCTACTTTTAAGTCTACAGAAACTCTACTATCATCACCTTCTATCTCTTTCTTCAACCTACGTTCCACTTTGGGGTCRTAAGATCTGCGTTTTCGATACAATCTATGTGACAACATGGGATCATGCACCGCCATCAATAGTTCTTGTACCATTTCGTTCGAGATCAACTTGGAATCGTAAGGTTTGAAATCCACAACATTCTGCCTGTAAAACATAAACATCGTAAATATTTAAGATAGGCATTAACTAGTTTAAAAGTTCAAGTTGAATTCGTTTTTCAAGCTTTAACTTAATTTTCTAATTAGCTTAAGAAGTTAACTAGTTTAGTTTGACATTAGACTTGACTCTTTTCCATTGATTTAATAACAATCCGTCGATTTAAAATTTAAAACGTTTGGTTTTAATGGTTTTATAGTTTAAAAATTAATAATAATTACATTATCATGGTTTTTAATAAAATAAAATATAATCTAATACCTACTATAGTAATACTAATACAGYATTATAATTTAACGTTTCTCAAACGTTTTCCCTCATGGTACACTAGCTCTAACMCATATTTAGCCGTGAAACACTTGACACTGTCATATATTATAATACGTTTAATAAATATACATTTTTGTAATACTAGAAAATTAGGCTTTTATCATTTTAATCAAAATAGTTGTATATCAGTAAATTACTATAGCAATACGAAAATATGAAATGTATATTGATGTAGAAAAACAGATGTATTCCATTACGATTATGATACGATTAAGTAATATATATTATGTTTATATAAGGTATAAAAATTTAGTCCTAGTGAGAAATTTGGGTTTGATTTCCATTCTTTTAAGTTTCATGTGTAGTCAAATGGTTGACAAGCACACCCTCATGCCAGACTGCCAGAGTATGATAATTGTTAAAAATACTTTAACTTATAATCGAAATTATACGTAATTATATTAATAATCATGATATTTCGCGACAATACCTATTGAGGCTCCACGACACAGCGGTTGGGAGACGCTGCAGGCTATAATTTCTGTTGTATTTCTTGAGAAAATAATATTTTACAATATAATGTTAGATATGCATAAATTAATATTCTTTGTGTGATCAGTTTAGCTAAATAYTAATTAAAAACGTAAATTAACTTTTTTTAACTGAATTAAGTAAGTTAATATTTTTGTTCATATTAAATATTTAAACTTAGCAAGTCAAATTTAATATATGTCAACTATTTACTTTTAAAGTTTTGAATTAATGACCTTGTGTTTACATAACTCAGCTAACCCAAGTTAATTATCATAATCAACTTTGTTGTTTTGGGCAACTAGTCTATTCTAATAATACTATAACGTAGTGGTTCCCAAACTATGCGCCACGCGGTTATATTTACAGGTGCGCTGCGTTGCCGAAAATTTTTCTATCCATCGCAATAATCTAATATGTACAAATAATGAAATAAATATATTATATATATAAAATAAATAATAATACTAAAATACCTAAATATTAATATAACTTATGTCTTACGACTTATGTGTAGTTATAATTAAATAAATATTTTCATAATATATTACAAATTGTTCTGGTTTTATTATTTTTTAGGGACTGGCACCGTGTAAACTCTTATTTAAAAAAAATAAAGGCGCAACATGCCATAAAAGTTTGTGAACCACCCGACCACCGTTGTAATAACGGTATACATACAAACATAAAAGATTTTGACAAATATTAAAATATATATATACACAGGTAATAGGTACAACAAATTTATGCAACATTTAAACATGTAAAATAAATATTTTATTCAAATTATTGGGACAATTGGATAGATATACTATTTGTATGGGGTGAGCAGGTAGGTAGTTAAAGTTTTGATAAAATAGTTGGATGCCACTATTAAAATAGCTAGCCAAATCAACTCTGCACTTAAACATGGCTCCCTGTAAGTTATTATGTACAAAGTTGAAAAAGATCGATGGAAAAATAAACCAATTTCACTCACCTGAAGAGGTATTTGAGTTGTTCGATACCTTGTTTCTCTATGATCGGATTCTCGGACGTACCCAAAACCGATTTCAGATCTGAAGCAGCCCTTGACACTGATGGCGACGCGAGGCATACGACCGTGATGCACGATGCAAAGACCTTTAAAAGAAAAAAAAACGAAAAAATAAAACTTACATACCAAAATTGATATAGTTACGAAAATATCCAAAGATAAAGGAGGAACTAGAAGTGTTGAGTGCCCTTAAATTAATGCACATGCAGTATTGCCTTAAAAATATTTAACTAAAACAACGGTTTTTATTTTTATGTTGCAAAATAAAAACATATTTTTGAAACTTGGCTGCCAAGGTTTTTTTTTGAAAACTTACTTGAATTGCCTGCCATAAGACTCCATAAAAACACTAACCAAAACTTCACTTGTGCCTGCCATGAGATTTCATATGGAATCTCGAGCAGTCTTTTTTTATTGATTGAGTTCTCTTAGAGAATATGTAATTCAATTATACAGTGTGTCTATTACACGCCTATTTTTATAGCACACGAAAAATATTTATTTTTTTAAGTTATAACAAACTGAACATTAAACTTAAAAGTTTATTATACATGTAGTAAATTGATTAGTTATATTATATCAACTAATTTGAAATTCCTAAAGAGCACTGAGCAGGTAAACTGATGTAAAATGTTTGTTATAATTGTATAAATAATAATTAATTTTAGTTTTCAAATTGTATAATACCAATTTGAAACATATCTACAAAATATTATTGCAATTGTTGAAGTATAATAGTTATACTGAATCAGTATAACTGAAAGTTCTAAAAATAAAATAAAAAATCTACAAAATATTGTTCTATTGCTTCATTAAAATTATCTTAAAACAATTGATATTATTTTAAAATTAATTGTGTACTATTAAATTTATAAATATATATATTAATTGGTTTTGATATAGGAAACTTATAATTTTAAGATTTCCTTTAGTATCTCTGTTTAAGGGATATTTTAATAACGACCAAAAAATTAATTTACAGTGCTATAATATGAGACTTTATCTGGGATCACATATGTTTTAAAAATCCAAAAACCAATAAAAAATCTTCAATTATGTGTCACTAGCGAATATGTAAAATTTTGAAGTCAAAAAATAAAAAAGTACCCAATTATTTTTTGGAAGTTTTTCGAAAAAATTAGAGACAAGAAGTTGAAGTTCAGTGAGATCTCAAAAAAGAATCTCATGTCAGTCAAGTTGTTTTAAAGACGTGTTTATTTAAAAACATATAATAATTGMATTATTATTCTTGTCACAAACTATTAAGCCGTGAACATATATCATACCTACAGAATATGTTGTATTCTTTTCTTTTTAACATTTTTTTTTGTGTGCTTAGTTCGTATTATGTCCTCTAAAAAAAATATGATTTGTTCCCAGCCCACAAAGTATGCAAATGCTTCTACCCCTTGAGCATACCCTTTTAGCCTTTGAGCTAGATCATTGGAATAAAACTCACTTTGAACGCAGTCGTTTTCATTTTGAACTCCACAAATCCAGCGATGGYAGTAATTTCTGCAGCAACTTAGTATTCGATTACAATATTGTAAATTGTAATACGACACTATATAATATACTGTTCGGGCGAATTACAGCCGCCGTCTGATGCGTACGGAATTTGTATTGTATGTCCACCA